GGCGGGGGGCGGCGGCCCGGGCGGGGGTCCTCCCGTGCTGTAGTCCGACATGGCGCGGCGGGGCCGGGCCTGGCGCGGAGGCTGAAGCTAAGGAGGAGGCGGCGGCAGCGGCGGCGGCTCAACGCGGGAACAAGGCCTCGCTCCACACGGCCGCGGAGCACTCTGGGAACTCAGCGGCAGGGAAGACGACGAGGGGGAGAGGGCCGTCCCCTCCCGCCGGCGGCGTGACGGACGGTGCAGCTGGGCCAATGGGGGGCGGCTGTCGCTCCCCGCACACCAATCACGGGTCCTGGAAGCGGGCGGCCAATCGGAGTGCCCGAGAGGTAGTGGGCGGAAGGCGCCGAGTGACTGACGATTCTTAGAAGCAATGGGCTACACGCTGCCGGCGCTGGGCGAGCAAATCGTGGCGGTCCGGGAACGCAGGCCGCCTAATGAGGTGTGAGTTCTCGATTCCCGGGGCGGCTTCGGAGTCATATTGAAGGCGAAGAGTCACGTGGGCTGGAAGGCGGGTCTTAGCAAAAGACCTCTCTGGACTGGGGGGGCGGGCGCTCGTTCTGCACGCAAGCCAATAACCATACAAGAGAGCCACTGATTGTAGTGATTGTCAGTCAGTTTAATCCAATCACTAATAAGTATAGAGTGACGAGCTTGGATTTGCTCTTAATTGCTTTTCTTATAAACCAGAATCCTTTTCTAGCCTTCACTTCTTAAACCAATAGCTGAGCGCCAGGGGCGGGTGTTAGATGACTGACACTGCTCTGGACAAATGGCAGCGAAGTTAATAAGATTGCCGTTTTGGTGGGAGCCAGTGGAAGCGCAGCGGCGTTGGGGCGGAGTCGGTCATCAGACAGAGAGAGGGGATTAGCCGAAGCCAGAGTGAATGGCAGGCTACGTGGGCGGTGGTGACCGGCTCTCCGAACTCGGGCCTGCAGTCTGGGTTAGAGCCCAGAGGCCAGGCTGGCTAGGCCCGGCACGTGGCCTGCTTGAAGCCTTGCAGATCGGATGTTACAGGAATCGAGGTGGCCTTAGAGTCGGAGGAAACTCAGAGGGGATCTAGAGCCCCTAATTTCCGGGACTCCTGCGACCAGCTCCTCTCCCCCGCTTTTTTCCGTCTGTACTGCCTTAAGGGATCTGAGCCCCTTGCTCCCACTGTGCAACCAAGGATCTCAGATTCCGGCTCCCCTCCTCGAATCACGCATCCCGGACACGTCCCGCAGAAACTGTATCTCCGCAGTCACCATGTAGTCCTGGAGCCAGGACGAGCCAGGCAGAAGCCGGGCTGGAGACCAAACTCAGGTCTCACGCTGTAGCTGGGGAGGGACCCAGGCATCTTCTGAGGGGAGTCCCTAGCAGATTTTTGAACCAAAAACGGCACCAGGGAGCTCTTCGGGTCCCCGGCGGGCTCTTTAGGGCCCTGGTGGGCTCCTTGGAGTCCCTGGCGGGCTCTTCCGGCCCCTGGTGGGCTCTTCGGGGCCCAAGAGCCCCGAGGCATCCAGTCCTCTCTCCTTAGGGCGTGCCATCCAGCTCATGGCCTACACGCCCAGCATTTTCTTCATGGCTTCATACACCACATAGCTGATGCCACCCGCTGGCAACACCTTCAGTAATGTGGGAGTCACGCCTCGATACAGCCCCCTCCAGCCCTGCTCGGCCCGGATCTGCCGAAAGACTCCGCTCATGGTGGAGTTGGGGCCCTCCATGGTGTCTGTGGGGACAGAGACAAGTTCAGAACTGGGTCTGATTTGGAGAGGCTGGGAGGCCTTTGGGGAGTTTCTTCGGGTCTGTGTGAACGTCTGGGTCACCTGTTGTGGGAATCTGGGGATTATGTGGAAGATGGATGGTAGCTTTAGTGATCGTTAGGCTTGCTTTTATTTTTGAGACAGGGTCTCCTTTGTAGTTCTGGCTGGCCTTGAAGTATGTAGCCCAGGGAGGCTTTGAGCTTATGGCGATCCTCCTGCCTCAGCCTCCAGAGTGCTGGGATTATAGGTGTGCACTATAAAAGTTCAGCTTTAGTGACTTTTTAAAGAATCAGATTGATGGGTGAATATAATCTTGGTGGAGCTGGGCATGGTGCCGCATGCCTATAATCCCAGCACTCTATGAAGCTGAGGCACGGGGATCACAAGTTTGAGTCCAGCCTGGGCAATTTAGCAAGACCCTGTCTCATTAAAAAAAAAGAAAAAAAAAAAAAAGCTAGGGATGTAGCTGTAGCTAACTGTAAAGGACTTGAATTTGATCCTCAGTACCAAAAAAAAAAAAAAAAAAAAAAAAAGGTCTTGGCGCGTTCAGGGGTCAGCAGGCCCAGGAGTCAGTTCAAGAGGAGAAGCTGGAGATTCAGAGCTGGAGAAGGGACACAGGGCATGTGCAGAGGCCACTAGTGCCAGGCTGACCTTGTGCTTGCATCCGGGTGCGCACCAAAGTCAGTGGATAACTGGCCATCTGTCCACAAGTTGTGGACAGTGTCACAGAGGACAGATTGACCAGGCCACTGGGGTCCTCCATATCCCTGCCTGACTTCAACCATAAGCACTGTAGCATCTGCAAAAGAAGAGGGACAAGAATACCATTCATCAAAAAAGTACCATTGGTAAGAGGCAACATGTGCAGTCAGCCTTGATATCCATAAATAAGTGGGTGAAAGTGTGCTCTCTCTATACAGAGGAATACTATGCAGCCATAGAAAAGAACAAGGTCTCGTCACTTGCAGCCATGTGGGTGGGATTGGAGAACATTATGTTAAAATATCCAGGCACAGAGAGACAAATGCCAAAATGTTCCTACTCATGTAGAATCTGAAAAACTTGATCTCAGCAGGAGGCAGGAGGGTTACTGTGAATTCCAGGCCAGCCTGGGCTACGTAGCGAGATGCTGTCTCACTATGTAGTGAGATGCTGCCTCAAAAACAAAAAAAGAAGGAAAAAAAAATTTTTTTTTAAGAAAATTGAAGCTGGGCGTGGTGGCGCATGCCTGTAATCCCACCACTCAGGAGGCTGAGGCAGGAGGATTGTTGCAAGTTTGAGGCCAGCCTGGGCTACAAAGTGAGTTCAAGGCCAGCCCGAACTGCATAATGAGACCCTGTCTTAAAAAAGACAAAAAAAAAAAAAAGAAGAAGAAGAAGAAAGAAAGAAAGAAAGAAAGAAAGAAAGAAAGAAAGAAAAGAAAGAAAAAGAAAATTGAAAGAGAGAAGAGCAAGGAGAAGCTGGCTGTGGGTCCCGGCTGAGGCCAGCCCTGCTCCGTCTCTGCAGGGCACGTACCTTGTAGACGGCCAAGTCGGTGCAGGCGTAAGGAATGATGCCCAGCATGTTTGGCAGGTAGCCGCGGTACAGGGCCTGGGCGCCCTCCCGCGACACGATCTGCCTCCCGCAGTGCAGCAGCCCCATGTACTGGCCAGTACGGCGCAGGGTCAGCCTGGTCTTGAGGACCTGGGGAGGGTGGGGTTCATTTAATGCTCTTCATGACCTCAGCAGTGACTGTCATCACCCCCATGCCCTACAGATGAGGGCACTGGGGCTCAAGACACCAAGCACTGGGTTTCAACCCCAGGTTGGTCTTGCTCCCTACTCTGTGTGTGTTCCCTGGATCTGGGGTTTGGGGTTCCAAAGCCTATGTGTCAATAAGTCAAAGGGGTAAGGGAATGGATATGGGCTGAGGGAGGTCAGTGTTTTCTTTTTTTTTTTTCTTTTTTTTTTGAGGCAGGGTTTTGCTGTATAGTTCAGGCTGGCCTTGAACTCACCCTTTAGCCCAGGTTGGCCTTAAAGTTAAAGTGATCCTCCTGCCTCAGCCTCCTGAGTACTAGGATTATAGATGTGCGCCACCACGCCTGGCCAGATGCCAGAATATCACAATACCTGAGCCAGAGCCAGGCGTGGTGGTGCAGGCGTATAATCCTAGAACTCGGGAGGCAGAGGCAGGAGGATTGCCTCAAGTTCAAGTCCAGCCTGGGCTACAAAATGAGCTCAAGGCCAGCCTGTACTACATAAGGAGACTGTCTCAAAAAGGAAGGAAAAAAAAAAAATTCTGAGCCAGGCATGTTTGAGGCCAGTCGAGGTTATGTAGTGAGTTCAAGGCCAACCTGCACTATGTAGCCAAACTCTATCTCAAGAAAACCCTAAATATATCAATAAAATAAAATAGAAAGGGCTGTGGATGTCCTGGGTTCGATTCCCAGCACAAAAACAAAACAAAAAAACCACAGGCAAAATTCTAAGGTGGTCTCTGCCATGGTTTGGGTATCATTTGAGGGTCCCGCAAGGCTTCCATGTATGGAAATTGAATCATTTTGTGAGGGACAAGGAGGGCAGGAGCTTAACGTGACTCTGGTCAAGAGACAGGGCTTCGAGAGGTGGTTAGGAATAGAGCAGCAGCTGGGAGTGGGGGTGCACGCCTGTTATCCCAGCACTTGGGAGGCTGAGGCAGGAGGATCACCACAGGTTTGAAGCCAGCCTCGGTTACAGAATGAGTTCAAGGCCAGCCTGAACTACATAGTGAGACCCTTTCTCAAAAAAAAAAAAAAAAAAATGATAGAGCATCAAGGTGGAGCCCGGGATCCTGGGATCCTGGTGACTTTATAAGAGGGAGAGAACCCAGGACACATGTGCCTTCTCTGTCTCTCAGTGTGATGCCCTCTGCCAGCTTGGGGCTATGCCAGAGGAGGCTGTCACTCGACTTGAACCTTTGGACCTCCAGTGCTGAGAGCTAAATTAACTTCTCTTATTTCAAGATCACCCATCCTCAGCTATTTCATGATGGTCCGAGCTTCCCCCAGCCACGTACAGCCCCTGTGATGCCTGCTGCCTGCGCGGGACCTGTGAGTATGAGAAGATGTCACTCCCATTGGCCCAGACACTCTTTAAGTCAGAGTTATTTTGCAGACCTAATTAGAGCACTTCTCAGTTGGCTTTGAGGGAATTGACAGAAGTGTCCAGAGCAGGCCAGTCCCGCAGAAATAAGAGATTCAAAGGTTGTTGTTTTTCTTTATGTAGTTTTCTTTATGCTGGGGATCGAACCCATGACCACAGGCATGCAAACCTCTACTGAGCCACACTGCCGCCCCTTCCTGGTGATTTTTTTTTTGGTCTTTTTGAGACAGGGTCTTGCTATGCAGTGCAGGCTGGCCTTGAGCTCACTTTGTAGCCCAGGCTGGTCTCAAACTCGCAACGCTCCTCCTGCCTCAGCCTCTTGAGCACTGGGATTATAAGCATGCGCCACCATGCCTGGTCTCTGATGATTTTTTAAAAGACATGGTCTTGTTATATAGTCCAGGCTGGTCTTGAACTTGTGATCCTCCAGCCTCAGCCTCCTGGGTGCTGGGATTACAGGCAGCTGCCACCACGCTCAGCATCCTGCTGGTTTTAGAGGAGTCAAATTGCTGGGCATGGTAGCATATGCTTATAATCCCAGCGGTCAGGAGGCTGAGGCTGGAGGATCACAAGTTTGAGCCCAGCCTGGGCAACTTAGCCACTTGGCAAGGCCCTGTCTCAAAAAATAAAGGAGGTGGGACTAGGGGAATGTAGCTCATTGCGAAGGCCGTGGGTTCAATCCCCAGTGGGGGTGAGGGGGAGGGAGAGAGAGAGAGAGAGAGAAGGAGAAGGAGAAGAGAGAGAACACAACAGGAAAAGAAATGCCCAAAATCAACTTAAATATATATAGGAGCTTAGTGAGTTCCGAAGGCACACCTTGGGCCACTGAGGAAAGGGGATGGCCAGCACACAGTGCTGAGACGACTGCCTGGCCATGTGAGGTCAAAGCTGGATGCTTAGCGCACAGTGGGAAAACGGGGGAGGGGAGGGGGAGGGAAAAGGAGGGGAGAAGGGGGTGGGGCGGAGGCGGGGGCGGGGGCGGGGCGCGGTGACGCGGGCCCCAGCCGCTCACCTCCATGGGGTTGATGAGCGTCTGCGAGATGGCCACGGCCAGGGAGCCGGCCAGCAGCCGCTCCTGGAAGGGCGGGGACCCGTGCTCTCCGCACAAGTAGTTCTTACACTGGAGCGGGAGAGAGAGCCGCGTGAGAGACGCCGCCGCTTCCGCCCTGAACCCCGAGAGGGGCGCGTGGGGGCGGGCGCGTGGTGGGGGGACCCGGACGTCCGGGCTCCGGGCCGGACCGCTCCCCACCTGCTCGAAGACGGCAAACTTGATGGCGTACTCGGGCGCGATCTTGAGCACGTTGATGCCGTTGCCCCGCCACAGCGAGCGGACGCCCCCCTCCTGGACCATGCTCCTGAGCCCCCCGAGCAGGTTCATGAGGTTGTTCCTGGAGGAGTAGACCTGGGGGATCCCCGAGGACCCTCCAGCTGGCCTCCTGCCCCTTCGGCCCCCTCCCCGAGGCGCCTGGAACTCTCTCCCCCGGCCCAGCCCAGCGCCGACCCAGTTCCCGTCATCTTCTCTCCAGCCTGTTTTTTTCCTTCTTCTTTTAGTATTGAACATTAGACCTGACGCCTTTGCGCGCTGAACTACATTCTCAGCGCCCCCCCACCACCACTTTTTAAATTGAGACAGCTTGTTAGGTTGTCCAGCCTGGACTCGAACTTTCCATCTTCCTGCTTCAGCCTCCCAGAGTGCCGGCATTACAGCCGTGTGACATCTTTGCTGTCCCACGATGCGGACTTCAAGCCCACCCCAACCCCTTCATCCCAGTTCCCTGGTCTCCAAAACCTCCGTCCTGGCTCAGGGTCGATCCCTGGGCCCCATGCGGTCCTCGCATGCTGTCCCCAGCACAACTCCAATCCCAGTGTCACCCCCGGGGCCGCCTCCACCTCCGCGCCCTCCTAAGCGCCATCAAAGCCGCCTCCACCGTCGCCAGGCCCCCGCCCCGCTGTCCCCCAGGGCCCCGCGCTGTGCTGCACCCACACCTGCATGTACACCTTGGCGCGGTCCAGAGGCGCAGTGCCCGTGCGGGACACCGCCCCGGCCATGGCTCCCGACAGCAGGAACTTCCAGAGGGCGCCGCCGTTCTGCACCTCCAGGACCGCCACAGGGACCATCAACTGCTCTCCCGTGTCCAGCACCTTAGGGAAGACCCAGCCCGCGCCGGTCCTTAGCCACCCTGCGACGACTTCCGGCCCGGTCTGCACCCTTGTGGTCCGCGGACTCACCTGCTGGGATGGGAGATGGTCAGGATGGTCCTCACCCAGGTGACCAAACACGTACCCGTACACATGGGTACAGCCGGGGCTCCAGGAGCAGGGAGGGGGCGAGGGCGGGGGCGAGATCGGGGGTGAGGGCGAGATCGGGGGCGGGGAGGAGGGGCTGAAGAGCCAGGTCTTGATCCTCTGAAACAGGGTCTGGACCCTCGAGCCCGCGTTTCCCGTGTCCTCAGGACCAGCACCCATGGCAGCTGGAGGTTCGGACGCCCGAAGCCAGACCAAGCCGCGGCCAAGTGGGAGTGGCTGGTGGGAGCACCTGGTCCTCTGGGGGCACAGGCGGTGAAGTCATAGAGATCCCTGTGACTTCACGGGTGTGTTTGGCAGAGCGATGGCCCACCCCGTCCCCCAACCCTGTCAGTACGTCACGGCGGTGGGCTGAGTTCGTCTTGCCGAAAGTCTTGTATTAAAGCCTCTTGGCGGCATAGAATTTGGAGTTTGGGCGTTTGGGAGGACGTGTTGCTGGGGTCCGTGTGACGGGCTTAGTGACGTCAGTTTTTGTTTTTGGGGGCAGGGTTTTGCTGTGTAGCTCAAGCTGGTCTTGGACTCACTACACTGCCCAGGCTGCACTTCAACTCCTGGCCATCCCCCTGCCTCAGCCTCCGGAGTACTGGGATTATAGGTGTGCGCCACCACTCCGGGCCCTGTGAGTTTCTATTGCGATGTAGATTTCGATGTCCCCCGAAAGGGCGCATGTGTTCCGAGGTGGGACTTTGGGAAGAGGTTGGGTCCTGGGAGCCGTAGCCGGCAGTGGGCCGGCTCACTGATTAGTCGCCGGCTGCACTGGTGGCTCAATGGAGGCAAGAGGCCTGACCCGAGGTTAGGTCCCCCTCCTCTCTCTGCCTGCCGGGCCCCTCCCCCCGTGCCGTTTCCTCCTTGAGGCCCGCCAGCCAGGGACTGCAGCTGTGAGCCCGTGTAAACCTCTCCTCCTTTCAGTTGTGGGTGTTGGGTGTCGGGTCTCAGAGCCGGGAGAGTAATTAAGACACAAGAGTGCCGTGGGTGGTGGTGCACACCTGTGCTTCTAGCGCTCTAGAGGTTGAGGCAGAAGGATCTCAAGTTTGGGACCGGCCTGGATGACTGAGGGATTTAAGGAGACCCTGTTTCAAAATAAAAATCGTAAGTCAGTATGGTGGCCCGAGGCTGCCATCCCTGCACTCGGGAGGCTGAGGCAGGAGGATCGCCGTGAGTTCAAGGCCAGGCTGGGCTACATAGTGAACTCAAGGCTGCCTGAAATACATAGTCAGAAACCCAATCTCAAAAAACCAAACAACAACAACAGTGAAAAATAAAAATAAAAAGGGCTGGGGACACAGGTCAGTGTGAAGGCCCTGGCTCCATCCCCAGCACTGGGAGGAGGGGCACAGAGCAGGGCTGTGTCCCTCTGTCCTCACTGAGGACACA